GATAATTTATAGACTTTTCATAAACTATAACTGCGTTCTCACTTCCATAAGATAAATTTCCATAATGCGTATATGTATTCACGTTGAGAAAAGTAAGCTCTACAGGAATCGCCTATTTGATATCATAAATTGGAGAAAAAATAAAAATTTATTGAACAGTGTTATTGAGGTTAAATTGATTATTTCAGGGAGCATGTAGATTGCAATTATTGCAGGTAGCTATAGTTAAAATGTAATCGCATCTGTGGGATCTTTGCACACTGAATATACTGTAGATTAATCATTAGTAGTTTAGCTCGAAACAGATTGCTATCATCCATTGGTTTCTAGTTCTCCGACATATACCTAATTACTTTACTTCTACTGATATACAAGGCTCCTTTGTTCAAAGAAAACGAGCTATGCTCTTTACTTCTAATCTAGATAACGATGTAATTACAGATAGCTTCCAGATAATCTTAAAACTAATCTTGAAACAAAACCGTGAACTTATGCTTCAATTTATACGCTATTTCAAAAATGGCATACTATCAAACTTCACGCATTAATAAAACACAGTTATAGTGGTATTTATCCCAAATATATCCTATATATAAGTCCTATTCCTAATTTCAATTCATACATTTCAGAATACCAAAAGTACACAAAAATTTTCAAGCAATTACTCTGCCTCCCAATTTGTGTCAATAAATCTACACATAAAATCAATGATTTCAAGTTCAAATTTAAATTTATGCTGTTATATACTCATATTTAAACTTACATCTCAAATTACTACTCTCTTTCTGACTCTCTCAACCATTTTTAATATATTGTGGGGGATCTCGTTGACGTCAAACTGGTCGCAGGTATCCTCTGTGTGGTGGTGTAGCTAGAAGGGACGATAGGAAAAGGAAGAGATGCGTTTGGTCCCGGGCCTGCTAGTAAACTCATCAGTAAGGCTACCCTAACAGGCCCTGCCTTAGACTGGGACACTATTGGGAGGTCGAGAAGTTATATATATAGGAACTGAAAGTTTTCCAAGGACTTACAGGACTACTCTAAATTAATAGAGCTAGACCTGGTTATGATTGAACTACAGGGAGTTCTATAGTAGACTGTTTCCTGTGCTGAGTTGATGGTGGGTCTTGGATGATAGTATGATCGTGACGACTGTCCGGTCTTCTTGGGATTTTTAGGAGAACTCTCTCGTGACTGTTCTGATGGTGGTTTTATAAGCTTCGTCTGTCTACTGATTGGTTGTGAATAATATTGAGGGTGTGTGCTAGTTTCGACGTCCTGCTGTGGTGGTGGAAGTGTAAATAATTTGGTCCTTTGTTACGGTTTACCAAAATGGTGGCTTAGGTGACGATGAGTGTATACAAGTGAAGGGATGCTGACAATAAGGACATAAAACAGTCCTCCACTTGACCTAGGACATTATGGTCCTAAGGCTGCAACAGCGAGTGTAAATAGCGTATTTAGCTTGCAATCTTTTTAGCTTGTAACTTACTATTAACCCATTTGCATCATGGCTCTACTTAAGGTGTTGTGTTCAGGCATCAGCGACGTTCAACTGACGACTAGCCCGTATCACCGTGCGCGTATCAGCACCTACTCATAATGGCAGTTAAAAGGATTTTCACGACAAAAGTAAATCTTGTTAAGAATATAATGAACCGATGTAGATGAGATGCTCACAAAAGGGATCAAACGTGATCTGTGGCATATGAAGAATATTCAGCAACTGGTAATGGAAAAAGTCGGCTCGCGGATTATTCCGCGCTCGATGATAGGCGACAGTCGTGGCTCGCGGAATATTCCGCGCTTGGATTCAAATGAGTTAATATCAATATTTCAAAAATTTAATCGCGATGCGTCGAAAATTCCGTAGAAAATGGATCAAGAAGTATGAAACTTCGTTTATGGGTACTCCTTAACTGGTAATGGAAAAAGTCAGCTCGCGGAATATTCCGCGCTCGGTGATAGACGACAGTCATGGCTCGCGGAATATTCCCCGCTTGGATGCAAATAGGTTAAGTCTCTTAGTTCGTGAATAAAATATATATTGAAATGAGTAACACCCTTTTTATTCCGTGTATTGCCGATCAGAACTACATCCCTACATCTTCATCGTTATGTTACATTTCGTTACACTGTATCCACCATCGTTGCATACCTACAGCTTCCAAAAACACCCTTCCAACCCTATCTCACCCCCACCGTTACTCCATCACCTGCACGTTCGCCCATATCGAAACAAAATTTCCCATTACCCGTTCGATTCATCCGCAGAAGCGGTGTTCCTCGGTGATTTCTCGCCACGAGGATCCACCGTCCGCCGTCGTCGTTCACCACAGGAAATTCCCCTGTCTGCGCGCGACGTTTCGCCTTTATCAGAGCGGACGGGCACGCCGCGAAGCGACAAACGTTTCCCTGGTCCGCTTGACGCCCTGGCGGGATTGCACAGAGGGTGGCCGAGCACCCTTTCGAGCGCGCTCGTTTTACGATTTCAATGATTTCAATTAACATCGAGCCACCCTCGCGGCCACGACGGCGGCCTGCTCCTTTGCCCGAAGGGCGCAGGCCCTCTGGTCATTTGCGGCCTTCAATGCACCTGGCCAATGCTCGTGGCCGCCGGTGCGTTGTCAAACGCAGCTCGACTCTTGTCACCGGGATTGAAATACTTCGAATCGCCACGCTTTCAGTCTTCGTACTCGTCGTTTCGCGCAAGTAGATGAAGGACAGAATCGGTAGAGGGAGAGAGAGAGAGAGTGAGAGAGGGAGGAAGGGAGAAATTATGGAAAGTGCGAGGGTGAAGTGTGAGAGGATAAAAAGAGGGACTAGGGTTAGGTACGCGATGTCAGTTGGTTTGGGTGTTTAATGGTGTGCTCGTATAAAATTCTAATTATTCTTGGGATGTAATGAATTGTTAATGATTGCTTCGCATTTGGTGACTTCTTTGTTGCGGAGGAATTGCAATTTGAAGATTTTTCGTTACACAGGAATTGCAGTTCGAAGAATTTTCGTTACAGGGAAATTGCGGTTCGAAGATTTTTCGTTACAGAGGAATTGCGATCCGAAGACTTTTCGTTATAGGGGAATTGCAATTCGAAGGCTTTCCGTTACAGTGGAACTGCAATTCGAAGGCTTTCCGTTACAGTGGAATTGCGTTCCGAAGACTTTTCGTTACAGAGGAGTTGCAATTCGAAGAGCCTTTGTTACAAGGGAATTGCATTTCGAAGAGCCTTTGTCACAGGGGAATAGCAATTCGAAGACTTTTCGTTACAGAGAAATTGCAAACCGAAGGCTTTTCGTTACAGGGGAATTGTGATCCGAGGACTTTTCGTTACAGGGGAATTGCAATTCGAAAATTTTTCGTTGTAGAAGAATTGCGATCCGAAGATTTTTCGTTACAGAGGAATTTCAATTCGAGGAGTCTTTGTTACAAGCGAATTGCAACTCGAAGAGCCTTTGTTACAGGGGAACCGCAATTACAAGAGTCTTTGTCACAGGGGAATAGCAATTCGAAGACTTTTCGTTACAGAGGAATTACGATCCGAAGACTTTTCGTTGCAGAGAAATTGCGATTCGAAGAGTTTTCGTTACTTAGTCGATAACGGTTTTGAAACAAGAAATAAGAAATTGGATATAAATTTATACGTACAATTATTTCATTTCGACACTAGACGCATCGTTACGTTGTTTTCAATTTAATGCATTAATTAATATTGATCTTCGGAATTTGATTATGCGGTAACTGAAAGTCGACTCTTGAGTGCAATGGATTATCACGTTGATTATAAGTAAACCATACATAAACACGAGATATGTAAATTATTCAGGGAAATAATATAGTATAATGTGGTATTGGGTCAAGTATCACAGATATCGTGTTATTTAAGATATTAAAAATATTTAAATTAATATGTACATTTGATATATGTGTTGTAAATTATATTCTTTTATATCATAAATTTGTTTAACAGACGTAAATTCGTCCTAATATTTTATATTTAATATTTTAAATACTTTTGTGCGAATAGGATCCAGCAATACTACTACATTACTATTACAAGTATTACTACTTTCTTCTACACGTCATATGAAATTGTTGAAAATATCAATGAATTAGAAAAAGCAGGGCGTACCACCTATGAAGTTTTCTTGGAAACCATATGAAGTACATACAAAATAAGAATTCTATTTTATCGATTGAAAGCAATTTACCGAATACAATTAATTGACGTAAGAGACACGAAACCAATTATCACAGAAAAGAAAAATTAGAAATAAATTCATACGACTTTGCAATTTAAATTAATTTATGCTTCAAGTTTTAATAACATTCAAAATATACAACCTTCCTTACCGATAACAAACAAGCAAAGAAAAATCTCTACAATACCGATCACGGAATGGAAAATAATTTATTAACAAAATAAGAAAAGCATACATGAAGTTCTAATACCAAAAAATAACTAAACAAGTAATTATAAATTGCAAAAAATGTCCAAATTATTGAATACATTGTTAGCAACAGATTACCTAAGGTATGAGCTTAGCAGTAAAAACGAAAAAATTAATAAATTACAAAATCTTAAATATACTTGAAATTAATCAAAATTGCCCAAAGCACGAATTTATAAAAAAGTTTTTAAAATTGACGAATTATCAATCATTCTAACAGAAAAATAATTGTAACTTGTATCATCAATCCCTTAGGTAAAATTTAAGTTTTCAGAACTCGTTCGCGTTTTACATTTACCATCAAGTGATACTACTAATTCGTAACATAGTACCATTAGTTAATAGCCAGCTATGAAGAATCTTACTTACCGTAAGAAAGTAATTAGTTTCCTGTTTTACCCGCGACATTTCTCATTTAGTTATTAATTATAAAAAACAGAGGTAGTTATATAAAAATTTGAATAAAGAAATACAAATTTTTTTTATATATATGTATACAGTATAAAATATACTATTGTTTTTAGAGTATTTTATAGAGTGTAGCAGTGCATTTTGATATGTGTAACTATCATCGTTTCTCCTCATCAGTTTTTTCTCGTTCTTCCAGCCTCTTTCTCTTTTTCAAAACTCTTTTATGTTTGATGCTAGTCATATGAATGTCCCACTGTTTTCCAATGAATATTCTATCGCAAACCTAACAAGAAAGAAATTCAATTACAATTATATGAGTCAAAGAACAACTATAAATCAATGTTATAAATTAAAAATCCATAGGGAAATTTACTTTGCAGTAATGATTTTCCTCGTTGCTACTGTCAGTATATTTCTGTTCTGTAACCACCTCGTTTATAGGTTTCTGTGTAGGTTTTTCTCCTTTTAGTGCAGCTTCGATTATTGTTACAGCTGGTTCATATACCTTATCATTCCATTCATTTGTATTAGAGCAATCTAATACGTATATAGGTGGTACCTGTAATCATTTTGTTACTTAAATTTTCGAACTTCCACAATGATTAATAAATACATCATACTACATTACACTATACTACATATTTTGCAGAATTAAGTATTTTATCTTGATTCATACCTGCCTATCTTTACGTAGAACTAGGCGATTCATAATCCACTTTTCCTGTTTCCTAGCATACCTTTTTGTAACTAGTTTTAGGTCATCGATACCCTTCTGCAGTAATTCCTGTCCCTGCAAACAAAAATTCCTAATTACAGATGAATAAGACTTATTACACATGAACATACCACAAACCTCACACATTAAATGACAGTAAATATTCAAATATTTATTGAAAGTAATGCAATAATATATCTCCCTATCATATACCTTTGCCTTAGTATCTTCTCTATCAATCCTTTCCTAATCTTCATCACTGAAGCGAGCCAAAAATACACAAAGGGAATTACAAAATGCAGTAAAACATTGACTATTTGAATACAGAAGTTATATATTGTATTACAGTAAGTAAATCATCAAGGAGGAATGGATGCAGTATAAATGTCTACATATATTAGAGATGTGTTCTTTCTTATGAGATATGTAATTCTACATTCTTCAAATAAAAACATTTCCATTTGAAAATTTCTTTATACTCCCACAGATAAACTTAATTAATTTAACTTATACATAATTCTGTAGCCTAACAACTTTTACTTTTACTTTATTTTTGCATCATGATTCCTTGTACACTATCTGAACTATGTAAACAGATTTGTCTCCCAATTAATTCAGATAATCAAGGTTCTACTATAACCACTACCTAAAATCTTTAATAACTCCTCCCTTCCCACAAACACATTCTCCACAGAAAAATAGGAAAAAGGAAAAAGAAAAGCAAAGGAGTTTTATGACAAAAGGAAGCTTCCTAATTTATAGTTTATTTTACTTCTCCCAGTTAATTCAGATAATCAACGTTTTACTGTGATCACTGTCTAAAATCTTTAATAATCTCTCTCTTCCCACAATCTCATTCTCCAAAAGAAAAGAAAGGAAAGGAGAGAAAAAGGAAAAAGAAGGGAGTTGCATGAACAACAAAAGGAAGCTTCTCGAAAAAAGCAAACTCCGCAAACGCGTCGCAATCCTCTTCAACGGCACCCAACCGTTCCTCGACAGCTCACCCCATTAATCCCGCGAAATTCAAATAACGCACCGCAAAAGTGTCTGTCAGGGAACCCTTGGACAGAAAAACACTCGGAGGACGAAGGAATGCATGGGGAGAAAAAAAAAAGGGTAAAATGAGGGAACATATTCCCTGGTGTTCGAACCGCAACATCCAACAAGAACCTCGAGCATCCCCTTAAAGTTCTCCCTCCGATTCGATCTCTCCCTCGTCTCCCATCTTCGTCTTCGGATATAAAACGTCTGGGTCGTGCAACAATGACGCGCAGCTGCGGCCAGGAACGTGACGACGTTGCAGTTCGCCGATTCTGCTCACCTTTTTCTTTCGCCTCTCCTCTTCGGGCAGCACGAGGTAAGCGTGGAACTCCTTGAAGCCGATGCTCTGGAAGATGCCCTGCGTGTAATCGGCTGACCTGCAATGTAAACATTCGCCGAATCAATCTGCTGTTTTTATTCCACCCTGGCATTCTTTCGGAATTGGGTTGCGAAGGATTCTCAGCGACATTTCCTAATTTGGTGTATGTGTACATTTGGGAATAATTTTCGTTTTCTTGCTTTCTTCCCAGTTCTTCCCTTGCCTTTCTTGGTAGTAATTAATTTGCACTTTTTCGGAGTTCTCTCTTGGCGAGTTCTGACTACTTTGGGGCAGATTATCAGATGTGGTACGTGCGTATATTTGGGAATAAAATTCGTTTTCTTGCTTTCTTGGTGGTAATCAATTTCGTTTCTTTGTACCCCTTTGAAGAGGGTTCTGAACATTTTTAGGAAAAATTTCTTGATTTGGGATAATTTTGGTTTCTTACTTTCTTGGTGGTAAACAATTTCGTTTCTTTTGTACCCTTTTGAAGAGTGTTCTGAATATTTTTAGGAGAGATTTTCTGATTTGGTATGTGTGTATATTTGGGAATAATTTTGGTTTTCTTGCTTTTTTGGTAGTATGTACCCCTTTGAAGAGGGTTCTGAACATTTTTAGGAAAAATTTCTTGGTTTGGGATAATTTCGGTTTCTTACTTTCTTAGTGGTAAACAATTTCGTTTCTTTTGTACCCTTTTGAAGAGTGTTCTGAGTATTTTTTTGAGAAATTTCCTGATTTGGTATGTGTGTATATTTGGGAATAATTTTGGTTTTCTTGCTTTTTTGGTAGTAATTAATTTCGACCCCTTTGGACCCTTTTGAAACCCCTTTTGGGGAGTTTTGAATATTTTTAGGAGAGATCTCTTGATTTAGTATGTGTGTATATTTCGGAATAATTTTGATTTTCCTGCTTATTTTTTAGAAGTAATTAATTTTAGAAATAATTAATTTTAGAAGTAATTATTTTAGATTCCGTTTAGACCCGTTTTGGTGAATTTTGAATATTTTTAGAGGAGATTTCCTGATTTGGTATGCGTGTATAATAATTTTGGGAATAATTTTGGTTCTTTTGTTTCTTTAGTAGTAATTAATTTTCATTCTTTTGGACCCTTTTGACGAATTCTAAATATTTCTAGCTGATATTTCTCAATTTATTTGTATATTTTTAAATTTTTGTTCTTTCTTTATGATAATTTTGATTCTTTTAGATATCTTTTGGCGAATTCTGAATATTTCAGAGGAAGATATCGTAATTTGGTATGTCTGTATGTTTGAGAATAATTTTCGTGTTTCTTTTCCCTCTTTTTCTCCCACAACTATGGACTACAATTTAACCAAGCAAGCGTCAAACAGATTAGCAATTCGAGGTACTTGTAAAGTTAAATAACGGGAAAAAAATGAGGATCATAAACCCCGTAAATGTGGCAATTTTTGGCAGTTTGCAACAACGTCGGTACGTGTTACGAAGATTATACCCTGAGTTCCATTGCACCGCTGTTTCCGTTTACCTGAGTAATAATACTATGTTATTATTAGTGCAGATGTTGCCTGGGGTTGTACCATTCCCGAAGCAAAAGGCAAAGATATCAGTAATTGAGAAAATCTGTACGAAGATAAATTTAAGTGAAGATCTTTAAATAATTAATAACCATCGATGACTATAATTTATCGGGCAATCTAGAGGAACACGTTATGTTAAATATTCACGGACCGTCTATCAATCTCGTAATCCTCACTGATGAACGATGTTTCGTTTATGTTAAGCAGGTTAAATTCGATATATTAAATTTCCCTTCGGCGGAATCGAAAATATCGGATTCGTATCTACTAATTCAATCCAATTTACGATAAAATGAAACTCGAATATGAAAGAGGAAAAATAAAAGAAGTTTGTGAATATCAATTTGACGAATATTAATGAATACGAATGAAATATAAATTATAAATATTAACGAATATGAATATAAATATTGCACCACTGCTGTATAAAGTATTACTTTGTATTGCTATTGCTTTGTATTGTATAGCCTTGTATTGCTAAGTATTACTATGTATTACTTGTGACGTACTAAAAATTTGTAAAAATTTTTAAAATATTATTTGTACTATATCTATACTATACTATATAAATATTGCACCACTGCTGTATAAAGTATTACTTTGTATTGGTATTGCTTTGTATTGTATAGTCTTGTATTGCTAAGTATTACTATGTATTACTTATGACCCATTAAAAATTTATAAAAATTTTTAAAATATTATTTGTACTATATCCTGCACTATTTTTCTTCAATTAACTCATAGTAATGCAATTTAATTATAAACAATTGGAACATGTATTGAGAAAGCATAAAATTGTAATCAATCATTATTAAGTATATAGTATAAATTATAATATTTAAAAAAATGCACCATTTACTTCATAATTCATGTAATTAATAATAAACACATGTAACTTCAGTTCGCAGTAAAAAATAAAAATAGCAAAAATATGTGAAATTTAATTTTTAATTAAATATAAACCAGCATAGCCAGCATTATAAGTTGCCATTGTGGACTTGGCTTAAACATAAAACACTCATGACAAGGTAAACTCGTCATTATGTCACAAGAGATTAACAATATAAACAAAATAACAGAAAATTGAAGATAAGTTAACTTGATAAGTGCCATACTAAAATACTTAGTAGAGCTCGAGAGTTTGCACTTCTCTAATGCTTTTGAAATCTATGTTTCTGACATACTGGTAAGATAAGACACTCCTTTTATCTAACATTAAACAGTTAACATTATTTCTATCTCTACCACTACCTTGATCTCGATTAATTTTATTCACTGTCTTCTTCAAATTTAATATATATAAGAAATTCTTCGGAAGAGAAACCAATCTGCCAAAATCATGTTCCTAGATATTAAAACTAGAAAGTCATTTTTTATTTCTGAATTTATGATACTAATGGAAAGTCTAAATAATCGATATTATATAAACGTCAACAGTCATATAGAATCGTATCATAATAAGAAATAAAATATAAAAATGTGATAAAAGGACTTATTATCAGAGATATTTTTCGTTTATGAAAATTGTTTCCTATTTTATTACTCGAAGTTTTAATCCTATTTGTACATAAAATATCTCTGTATAAATACATAAAATATAAATAAAAATCCCTGTAATCTATTATTATAAATATCATTGATCTATGATTTACAATTCTGTTAGAGAAAGTAGATCTGCAAATTTGTTTCCTACTTTATTACTTGAAATTTTATTCCTATTTGAACATAAAATATCCCTATATAAGTACACAAAATATAAATAAAAATCCCTGTGAACTATTATTGTAAATATCATTGATCTATGATTTATAATTCTGTTAGAGAAAGTAGATCTGCATATTATGATGTATCAAACCCACATTCCTCCTACTAGCTATCTTCTCATGTTTGCATAGTACTTTAGGCTGCCAACACTAGCATCGTGACACGGTATTAGTGTTACAGTAAACAAATACAGTGAAACAGTATCAGAGGAAATAGTAGTAAAATCACGATGACACTCGTTTTATCTTATGTTAAATAGTTAACCCTAATTGCACGTCTATGACAATGCTTTATCAGCCTGTTCCATTTCATCTCGATGAATCATACTCACTGCCTTCGTCACACTCTGCTATATAATTCTATTCGTAGATGTAATACCTCTAGCCAATAAATTCGTGTGACCCATCTTCACGATTGTGTCGGAGAAAATGGATCTATTACACTATGGCCAATCAGACCTGCATTCCTCTCGCGTGCAAACTCCCGAGCTCTGCACAGTACTTGAGATTCATTGGTACTGCATGACTCATGTTTGAATCTTTGGCTCTACTTACCAAAATCCAGATCATGCACACGTGAATTTTCACATTCGTCACAATTCGGCCTCGAAATAAACAGACGGAAATAAACGTCTCAGTCTTCTCAGACACACGTATAATTTTAGCAAATTTATTAATCACGCGTGGAACACTCGAAATACAAATAGTCAACGAACGAATCAATATCGAAAATATAAAACTTCTATTCCAAACAATAAATAAAATATTGTACATAATCAATTAATTAATTAAAATACTAATAACCAAAATAAAACTTACACATCAACATCTCTTTAACACTAGAACTATCAACCTAGTCAAAATGACTGGTCCCAGAATTTTCCTTTTTGCAATCACCGAACACGTACACCTGCTTTAAGAATAAAATTGGTATCAACTCCATATTAAGAAAGAACTGTAATCAATACATTCACTCATATTCATCGTATCGCTGAAATTACTATAATCTGTACACGTTATAGTTAGGTGCCCACTAAAGATCGATAGTTCTAGCGTTAACCCTTTCCCCATAATTACCTATTATTTCAGTTTATTCATTTTTGTTATTTATAACACAAATGACAATACTGAAACATTATACAAACATAATATTCCTGAAACTTGTAATTTCCCCAAAAATTAGAGTTAGATCTTACTCGACAAAGGAGTTCAAACTTGATCTCAAAAGACATTCGTATTGCAAACGCGTATAATTGATCCTGCTTAAAAATATTATTGCTCAATTAGACTGAATTAAGCGAGTATAGATTAGCGACTATAAATTATACAGTCGTCATTTGCAAATTAAAATTTATTTTCACTTTGTAAACCGTGAAAAGAACGCTTTGTTTGAATGCTCTGCCGTTCCCGCGATACGCTACACTCGAGTGCTCCGTCGGTCACGTAGTAAGTGACGCGGAAGCTGCCAGAGGGCACTAGTGTGCCCGGTAAGCGGGCCGGAAAGATACGCGCGTTGTTGGATCTACGTATATCCTGGTTCGTGGTCAATTGCAACAGCAGCAGCTCGGTAGATAAGTGAGAAGGGTAGTACGGTCGTCTTTGAACCGCCGCGAGTACGTCCCTTCACCTTCTCGAGTGGCGATCGCGTTCACGAGAGACGCTGCATTCTGCCAGTCGCGTTATCACGACTGGATAGCGATAGCGGGCGAGGCGAGGCCAAGCTTACGTGGCGGGAA